TGGTGGGTGTGTATATGGGGTAATGGGTTTTTGTAAAGTGTGATTATTGGGGGTTTATGTATTTTTGGGGAGAAGTATGAGTTTTTTAGTTTTTTGTGTTTTTGTTGGGTGGATAGTGTGGTATTGGTTTGGTTGGTAGTGTTGGGATAAGTGTGGTAAAATGGGAGTGAGAGGGTAGGAGTAATGTTTGTGTGGGGTTTTTTTTGTTTATAGTGGGGGTTTATTTGGTTTGTTGGTTTTGTGGTTGGGGAGTATTAATTTTGATATATGGTTGTTTTTTTTTATTTTGATGTTTTATAGTGATTAGTGTTGATTGGGAGTGGATTTTTTTGATTGGTGGGAATGGGTGGAATGTAATGAAGTTAGTTTAGTGGGTGTATTATATGAGGGGGGGAGGTTGATGTATGGAAGTATGTGGTGGTGTTGTATATATATATATATATATATTGATGGGTGATGTAATTGGTTGATGATTGAGTTTAGTAAAGAAGATGTATGGATGTGTAGGGGTTTGGTATGTGGGGGTATGGGATTTTTTTTTTTTAGTGATTGTGTTTTTTGGTAGGGGTGGGGGTTTATGTTATTTAGGGGGATATTATGGTTGTGGTTGGTGTGGTGTTTTTTAGTTGATAGTTTGGGTATATTTAGATTGGGATGGAGGTTATTTATATTAATAAGTATGGAGGTGGATTATGGTTGTTTTGGGGTTTTGTTGGTGTAGTTTAGTTTGGGAGATTATTGTATGTTTGTTTTGGTTGTGGTGTTATTTTGGTTGGGTTGTTGTTTTGTTGGGTTATATGGATGATGTGTTGGGGGGGGGTGGTTGTGTTTGTTTGTGTTGGGGGGTGTGGTTGGGATTATATTGATGTTGTTTTTTTTTGTATTTTGGTTTATTAATTTTAGGGTTTTGTTGATTTTTTGTTGTTTGTGGTGAGGGGTTTTATGTTGGGGTTTATGTGGGTTTTTGTTGTTTGGGTAGGTTTATGGGATTTTTGGTATGTGGGGTGAGTGGTTGTTGGTATTGTGGGTGATGGATGAATGGTGATGTGGTTGGGTGTTGGGGGGGGGGTGATATGTTGTGTTTTTGGGGGGGGTGGGGGGTTGTGGTGTTTGTGGTGGTTGATGGGGTGTTTGGTTTGTGTGGGTTTGGGTTGGGGTTTGGGGTGGGGGTGTTTTGGTTTGGGTGGGGGGTGTGTTTGTGTGGGGGGGGGTGTGTGGGTGGAATTTTTATTTGGGTGATATTGGTTGTTTTTTTGGTGTTGGGGTGGTGTGTGTGGTGGGTGTTAGTAGGTTTGATTGGGTTGGTTTGGTTAGGGGGGTGTTGTTTTTGTTGTTTGATTTTTTTGGTGTGTTGTGTGTATTGGGGTAAGTTGGCTTGGGGTTGTGTTGGTTTGTTTTTGTGGGTAGGGGGGGGTGTGGTGGGGTTTGGGGTTATTGTTGTGGTTGGTTTTTTAAGGTGGTATTTGTATGAGGTGGGTTGGGAGGGTGTTTTTGGTGGGGATATGTTTTGGGGTTGGTTTTTGTGTGTTTGGTGTGTGGTATGGTTGTTTGTGTTTGTTATTGGGTAGTGTTATAGTTGAGGTAATAGTATGATGTTAAGGTGGAGGTGAAGATTGTGGATGGAGATAAAGTGTTGATATTAGTGGGATTTTTTTGGTTGGAGTGGGTTAATGGTTGTTTTGGGGTGTTGGGGTTGGTGTTTGTGTTGGGGTGTAGGTTTTTTTTGGGTTGGTGTATTTGTGGGGGTGGTTGTGTTTTTTGTGGGGTGAGGTTGGGGTTTGTTGGGGTGTGGTGGGTGGTTGGGGTATGTGTTTGGGTGGTTGTTGGGTTGTGTTTTGTTGGTGTTTGGGGGTGGTGGTGGGTGTTGGGTGTGGGTGTTTGGTTGTGGGTTGGTGGGGTGTGTGGGGGGTGTTGTTGGTGTTTGGTGGGTGGTTTGTGTGGGTTGGTGGGGGGGTGGGGGGGTTTTTTTTTTGTGTTTGTGGTGGGTTGGGTTTTGTGTTTTGGGGTTGTGGTTGGTGGTGTGTTTGTGTTGTTGGTTTTTTGTTTTGTTTTTTGGTGGTTTTTTTTAGTTGTAGTTTTTATATTGGATGAATGTGTGATTTTTTTTTTGTTTTTTTTTGTGTGTGTGTTGGGTGGTGGGGGGGGTGTGTGTTGTTGGTGGGGTGGTGTTGTTGTGTTTTTGTTTGGGGAGTTTGGGGTTGTTATGTTTGTTGTTTTTGTGTGAATAGTATAGTGTGGTAAATTTTTTATTTGGTGTATGTTTGTGGTTTTGGGATAGAATAGTATATTGGGTTGGTTGGTGGGGGGGGGGGGGGGGGGGTGGGGGGGGGGGGGGGGGGGGGTTTGTTGGGTGAGGTGGTGTGTTGGGTGGTATTTAGTTGTTTTATATATTTGGGTGGGGTGGGGTGGTTTTGTTGGGGGGGGGTGGTGGTTGATTGGGGGTTAGGTGGTTTGTTTGTGTTTGGGTTTTTGGGATGTTTGGGTGAGTGGTTTTTTTTTTTTTGGTGGTGTAGTTTTATGTAGATTTTTGGGGGGGTTTGTGGGGGGGGGGGGGGGTATGGTTGGGTGGGTGGGGAGTGGGGGTTGGTGAGTTGTGTGTGGTGGATGTGGTAGTGTATGAGTGTTTGTATTTGTGGTTGTATATGGGTTGGTTTGGTGTTGTGGGTGAGGGGTTTTGTGTGTTTTGGAGGGGATTGGATGGTTTTTGGGTGTTTTGTGGTGTTTAGGGGTTGTTTTTAGTTTGGTTTTTATTTGTGTGGTTGGTTAATGTTTGTGTTGATGTGTTTATTGGGTTTGGGTATATGGTGTGTTTGGTGGGTGTTGTTGAGAAGTTTATTTTATGTTGGTGTAGTTTAGGGTAGTTTGGGTGATTTTTTGATTGGATGGTTGATTATGTGGGTGTGTTTTTATTTGTTTATTTAAGTTATGTTTGTGGTTTTATGGGGTGTTGGGTGGTGTGTGGTGGGGGTTTGGGGTGTGGTGGTGTTTGGGTGGTGTTTGGTGGTTGTGGTGGTGGTGGTTTTGTTGTGTGGTGGTGTTGGGTGGTTTTGGGGGTTGGTTATGTGGGTTGGGGGGGGGTGGTGTGGGGGGGGGTGTATTATTGGTTTGTGTGGTTTTGATTGGTAGTGGGGTTGTTGGTGGGGTGTTGTGTGGTGGGGGGGGTGTGTGGGATTTTTGGGTTTGTATTTTTTGGGGATGGGTGGTGTGTGGTGGTGGTGGGTTTGGTGTTTGGGATGGTGGGTTTATGATGGGTAGAAGTTATGGTTTATCGTTGGTATTTTATTTGATAGTGTATTGATATAGTAGGTTATTTATTTTTTTTTTTTTTATGTGTTTTTATTTTGATTGGGGGTGGGTATTTTTTTGGGTGTTGGGTTGGGTGTTTTGGGGTTTTTTGAATTTGGGGGGTGTGTGGAGTGTGTAAGAAAATGGGGTATGTTGAGTAATATGAATTTTTGTTTTGGTGTTTTGAGTTTTTAAGGTTATGGATATATTTATGATTAAGTTAGTGTTAAGGGTAATGATAGGAGATATGGTTTTATGTTTGTTAGAGATGATGATATTATTGTATGTAAAGTAGTATTAATTTTGAATATATAAAAAGAAGTTGGAAAGTTTAATGAAAGAGAAGATGTGAATTTTATAAAGGAAAATTGATATATTAATAAGGGAAAGATTGAAATATTGGAATGAAAGGGTAAATTGAAATATTAATGAAAGGAGAAATTGAAATATTAATGAAGGAAAGATTTAAATATTATGAAAGAGAAGTGTAAATGTAATGAAAGAGAATATTGAAAATAATGGAATGGAGAAGATTGGAAATATTAATGAAAATGAGATTGAAATATATAAGAAAGAGATGTTGTAATTTAGGGTGAATAATGGGTTGGTAAAATAAGATGGAAGGTGGGATAAGGGTGGGATAAGGTAGGTTAAGAGGAAAGAGAAAGTGATAATAGGTTTGGAGAGTTTGGAGGGGGTAGATGTAGAGGGTAATTAGAAATTGGGTTGATGAGAGTGTAATGGATGGGGTGGGGGGATAGAAAGAATTGGAAAGAGGTTGGAGGGGTTTAGAGGGAGATAGATTGTTTAAGTTTAATTAGAGGGGGGAGGGATGAGATGAAGTATTTTAGATGGATGGAGTGATTTTTTTATTTTTGAATGGGGGAGATAGGTGTGGGTATATGATTGAGGAAGTTGAAAGTATATATAGTTGTTTATTTTTGAGTTGATTGATGAGTGAGTAAGTTAAGGGGAGGGAGAAGAGAAAGATGAATTAGTAAAATAAAGTTGGGAAAAAAAATAAAGGATAATAAAGAATAATAAAGATAAATAAGGAGAATAAGAGGGGAAAATTAAAAGATTTGGGTAGGAAATTTTTAAATAGTATTAATAATATTTATGGTGTAATGAGGAAAAAAGGATTATTTAAGAAAAGAATTTATTGAATTATTAAAAAATGATAATATAGAGTAGTTGGGGAATAGAGTAATTGTTTTGAAATTTGGTGAGTATATATTAGATATGGTTTTAGATTATTGTGATTAGAATTTTTAGTTTGATTGGAAATTGTGTTTGAAAGATTATGAAAATGTGTGGAGTAGTTTGTTATGATTATGGTGAGAGTGGGATATTATGTTTGTAAAGATTTAGAGGTGGAGGTTATGGGGGAGGGGGGGGGGTGTGTGTTGGGGGTTGTTGTGAGTTAGGTTGTTGGTTGTAGGGTTTTTTTGTTGGTGGTTTTGTGTTGTATATGTTAGTAATTATGTTTAAATTATTGGTTGTTGTAGTGGTGTTGTTTGTTGGTGTGATTGTTGGTGGTGTGATTGGGATGGATTTTTGTGTGGGATTGTGTGGGTAGTTATAGTTGAATTAGGGGGGTGTATTTTGGTTTTTTTAGTATATAATAGGGGTGTGAGTTTGGGGGGATTTTGGTGGTTTTTTGGGTGTATTGTGGTTGGGGTTTATGAGTTGATTGGAGTTGGTGGTGTTTGGGGATGAGTTGGGGGGTGTATTTGTTGTTGATTTTTGTTTGTGGTTTGTTTGTGGTGTTTGTTTGGTTATTATGGTGTTGGGGGGGGGTGGAGTTGTGTGAGTAGTATTTGTATGTAGGTGGGGGTTTGAATTGTTTGGGGTTTTTGGTGTTTTTTAGGTGTGTTTAGTATGGTTAAATTTAGTGGAGGTTAATGTAGATAGGGATTTGTGGGTTAAAGTATAGGGGGATGTATAGGTTGAATTAGTAGTGTAAATAATAGGTGTAATTATAGGTTTAAGTGGAGTTATATGGTTAATTAGAAGTGTGAATTAGTTGGGTTGAGAATTAGATAGTTAATTAATAGGGGGGATGTGGTAGGTGAAGTATTAGGTTAAATTAGATAGGTTTAATTATGTATTTTGGTGTAATTATGTAGGTATTTTGATGGGTTGGTGAAGTGGGGAGTGTAGAAATAGTTGTTGTGTTAGTTTTGATATTTTTGTGTGGGGTTAATTAATAATGTTTTTTGAGGGAGTGGAGGGGTATGTTAATTTTGTGGGTATTGTGGGATTTTGGTAGTGTAAGTATGTTGCGTGGATTAAAGATAATGATGAGTAGTTGTGTTAGTTTATTTGGGAAGTATGATATATATATAATATAAGAAATATTTATTGGGATGTATGTGGGTTTTGGGGGGGTGTGGTTTGATTTATATTTTAGTGAGTTGGGAGTATTATGATGTTTGATTTTAATTTTTTTTGGATGGGGTAATGTTATTGAGTGTTGTTGTTGTTGTTGTTGTTGTTTGTGGGTGGGTGTTGTTGTTTGTTTGTTGGTGGTGGTGGTTGTTGGTTTGTGTTGTTGTTTGGTTGTGGTTTTGTTTGTTTTGGTTTGTTGTGGTTGTTGTTGTTTGTTTTTGTGTGTTGTTGTGTTGTGTGTTTTGTGTTGTTGGTGTGGTTTTGTTTGGGTTGTTGTTTTGTTGTTTGTTGTGTTTGTGTTTGTGTTGTTTTTTGTTTTTTGTGTTGTTGTGTTTTGTGTTGTTGGTGTTGTTGTTGTGTTTTTTGTTTTTTTTTGTTTGTGGTTGTTGTTGTGTGGGTTGTTGTTTGTTTGGATAGGTATTTTTTGGGTTGTTTTGTGATGGATGGTGTATGGGGTTGTTGGGGTGGGTGTTAAGGGTTGTAATTTGATAATTGTTAGGTTATTTGGTTTTTTGTGTAGTGTTTGTGTTGTTGTTTTTTATGAAAAGATAAATATTTTTATGATTGTTATTTTGTTTAGGGGGTTTTGTTTAGATTGGGATTATATGTGGGAATTGGTATGTTTTTTTGTGTGTGTTTTGGGTATGTTTTTGGGTTTGTGTGGGGGTTGGGGTGGGGGTTTTAATAGTGAGAGATATTGGAGATGGAATAGTAAGTGATGTTTGTTTGGGTTTTGTGTGTTTTTGGAGTATTGGGGGGTGGGTTGGATGTTTTTGTGGTAGTATGTATGGGGGGTGTGGTTGTTGGTTGTTTATTGATTGGATAATGTTTAGAAAAGAGAAATTGTTTTATAAGTGGTGATGAGTTTGTTTGATTATATTTGGGTGGTTTTATTGTGTGTGTGGTTGTTTTTTAATTTTGTTTTGGGGTTTTTTATTGGGTTATTGGAGGGTGTTTGTGTTTGTGGGTTTGGGGTTGTTAAGTGGTTTAGATGGGGGATGGATTGGTGTTGGGGAGTTTGGTGGGTTTTTGGGGGTGTGAGGGGTGTTTGATTTGGTTTGTTGGTTTTTGTTGGTTTTTTGTTGTTGAGTTGTTGGTTATGTTTGTTTAAGTGGGATGTTAGGGTTTAGGTTTTTTATTTGGTTAGTTTAGTTGGGTGTGTTTGTGGGATTTGTTTTGTGTTTTGGTGTTTGTGTTGTGGTTTTGTTGTGAGATGTTTGGGGGGGGGGGGGGGGTTTGTGTGGGGTGGTTTGTTGTGATAGGGGAGGGGTGGTGGTAGTGGGTGAGGAGGGGGGGGATTTTGGGGTGTGGGTTGGGAGTTTTTGAAGTGTTTGTTAGGGTTGTAGTGGTGTTTGTGAAGGGGGTTGGGGTTTGGGGGATATGATGGTTAGAATGATGAGTATGAGTGAGTGTGTAGTAGGGATGAGTAGTAGTGAGTGAGTGTTGAGTGAGTGAGTGAGAGAGTTTATGAGTATGATAGTGATGAGTGAGGTGAGTAGTGAGGAGTGAGTAGTGAGTTAGTGATGTGTAGAGAGTGATTTGTGTGTGTGGTATTGTGTGAAGGATAGGTGTAGGGAGTTGAGTGATGTAGAGAGTGAGAGAGTGAGTGAGAGGAGTGAGATGATATGAGTGAGTTGTAGAGTGATGAGTGAGGAAGTGAGAGTAGGTGAGTTTGTGGTTTAGGTGGGATAAGGTTTATGTGAGTGTAGGTTGAGGTGGTGGGTTGGTGTAGTGATGATTGTAGATTGTGTGTGGTGTGATGTTGTTTAGGGAGTGGGTAGTGAGGGGTTTTTTTGATGTTTAGGGTGTTTTTTTTTGAATTTTGGTTTTGTAGGATTGGGGAGGGGGTATTATAGGGGTTTTGATGTAGATTGTGTGAAAGGTGTGGATTTAGTATGTTATGAGGATTTATGGGGTGTGGTTTTTAGAGTTGTTTTGGTGGGGGTATTTTTTTATTGAATAGAGTTAGAGAGAATATGAGGGATTGAATAGAAGATGAGTATAGATAGTAAATAGTAGTTAATAGGTATAGGTGGATTGTGTATTATTGGGGGTGGAATTAGGGAGTGTAGTGTTTTTTTATGTTAATTTAATGAGGGATGTTGAGTTTGTGAATGAGTGGGGTGTTGTTAGTTTATGATTATTGTTAGTGGTGATGGTTTATGGGTTTGGGGTGAGTTTGGGGTGGTGGTGTATATATGAAAGATGGATAATTGAATGTATTATGAAATAAGTTTAGTAGAAGGTGAAGTATTTTATGTAAGTGTGTATTAAGATAAGTGAGTATAAGTATGTGATATTTAGATGAAGTAGTATAGATGAAGGTGTTTTAAGGGGTTATGGTATATTAATGTGTGTATATTTGTATAGTTTTATTATTAAGATGAGGAGTTTTTAGATGAAGTTGTTTGATAAGGTGAAGTGATATAAATGTGTGTGTTTTTGGATGGGAATTTTTTTATGATGATTGATTTAGATGAGGTTATTTTTAAGGGTAGTGGGTATAAGGTTGTTGTTGTGAGTGTTTGAGGATTGTGTTAAGTGATTTTTTTTTTTAAGATAAGGTGTATATGATGAAGGTGGTTTTGGGTAGTGTAAGTGATAGGTTTATAAGATGAGGGAGTAGATTATAGGTGGATATAAGGTGATATTGATATGTATTTGATGAATGTGAGTAGATGATGAGTTTATTTTTTATTTTGGTTTTTTTTGTTGGGTGTATTGTGGTATGTTTTTTTAGGTGGTTTGTGGTTGATGGGGTAGGTTTTTTTTGAAGTGAATTTATGATGATATGGAGTTTAAGGTTGTGTGTTTTTTAATGAATGGGTTTTTATGTTGTGTTTTTAGATGTTGGATGTTATTATGATGAAAATGGTGTTAAGAGGAGGGATTGGAAATGAATGATTTTTAGTTGGAGGAGTGAGGTGGTGGGTTGGGTTGTGTGAGTGTAGTAGTGAGGGGGTATATTGGAGAGGGGATGATTTGTGGGGGGTGGGGAATGGTTTTTTTTTTTATTTTTGAAAGAAGATTAAGGAATTTTAGGTGTTATGGGGGTTTGTTTTGGTGGTGTTGGATGGTATATTATTGTGTGAAATGTGTAATTGTGTAAAGAAATTGTGAGGTGAAAGGAAGGAATAAAAGTAGATAGTGGGGGGGGTTTAGGAAGTAAAAGATGAAGAAATTAAAATGATAGAAGGAATTAGGATGAAGAGGATAAATTATTATAAGAATAGATAAAAAGATATGGAGAAAGAAAATGAATGAAGTTTTTGGATTGGTTATTTAGAGAAGATGAATGAAGATAGTAAAGGGGGGGGGGGAATTTTAAGAGATTGTAAAAGTTTGTTTGAGTGATAAGTGGGTGGGGGTAATATTTTAAGAAATATTAGGGTTTAGTGTTTTTTTTGTGTTGTGTGAATAAGGTGAAGATTATGGGGAGGAGTGAGAGTTAGAGAGGATATGGATAGTGGGGTATGATTTTATTTGTGAATTATTTAGAGGGGGTGTGTTGGTTTTTAGTAGTTGAGGAGATTGAGGGGATAGTAAATTTTTATGTGGGGTGAAGGATAAAAGTGTATTGTATATTTTTTTGTGATTAGATAAATGGGAATGTTTTGTATAATTTGTTAATGTTTGGTAAGAGAATAGGGTTATGGATGTATTAATATGGTATTATATTGGGTATAAGGAAGGTTGATGGTAGTTATTGTTTGGTGGTTGGTTTGTTTGTTATTGGTGTAGTTTGTGTTTAGTGTTTATGGTAGGTAAGTTTATATTAAAGGAGGATTGAATATATATTAGAAAAGAGTAAGTGTATTATTAAAGAAGAGTTAGGTGTATATTAGGAAGATGAAGATAAGGTGTAATTAGGAAGAAGAGGTAAGTGTGATATTAGGAGAAGAGTAGAGGTTATATTAGGAAGAAGAGTAGAGTTATATGTAGAAGATGATAAGTTATATTATAAGAAGTAGTAGAGTTATATTAAAGAAGAAGTAGAGTTATATAAATTAAAGATGAAGTATGGGTTAATGAGAAGAAGAGTAGAGTTATATTAGTAAAGGAGTAAATGGATATAAAGAATAAGGAGTAGATGTTATATGGTAAGAAGATGAAGGTAAGGGTTAATAATTAGACTGAGGAGGGTTTGTGATAGGTTGCTCTGTTTAAGGAGGCCCTAATATAGGCCTGTGATTACACACACAAGAATAGCTTGTTTTTTTCCTCTCCAACAAAGCTATAATGACAACTCCGCATAGATCTCAGATGTCATCGAAAAGACGCTCCCTAACAACGAAAGGCCTTAAGCGGAAACCGTACACCGTCACACGCCGAGGGAGAAGTGATGCGTCTTATACATATACGTACGCAGCTGGGTATGTTATTTTTGGGGAGGAAGCCATGTCGATAGCGAGTTGGTTCCATTTCAGGACTCACTCCAACGCTATAAATACGGCTATGGTTAAAAATGTAGAGTATAGACATTTTTGGAGAGAGGATAATAAGGGTGATTACGAGCTAGTGGTTACGAATGACCCTGCAGACGTAGAAAACAAGGGTCTTGTGCAAATTAAATTACATAATTACGCTGAATGTGTTACATCGGGTGTCTTACCCAAAAAACAGGTGAATATTGTTTCTGTACAGTACAAGGATTGGCCTGAAGTATCTAGAATATTTAGCAAAATTGATAAAGCAATTCAGAAAGATTACTTTTACATGGAGTTGGAAACTGTTAAAAAAAGACTGCGATATCTGGAAGCTGAGACTGAAACAGCTAATATGCGGTTCCCTCTGAATACAACAACAACAAGAGATTATGGTAAGTATTACTAACGTATTTATTGTATTTTCTATACAACGTAATAATGTTTATATTCCACAGGAGGGCGACCAATGGATGCGGCCCCAGAGGGTGATGAAAACACACAGTCAACAGGTATGGTTATTTAAAGATATTCAGTATATTTTTAATTAATACCCCTCTATGTTCTTTAAAAGATGGAAGTGAAACAGATGCGACTGAGGATGAATTGGAAATCTCACTACTACCACAATCCCCGGTCCTTAATGATGACAATGCTGTCGCTTATGGTGTGTATAAGTGATTATTATTATTTTAACACTATATTGTTACTAACAGAATGTTTTTTTAGTGACACCCGAGAATGCAGAGAAGGAACCAGAACCCCCCGCGGAGAAGGAGCCTGAATCCCCCACGGAGAAGGAGCCAGAGCCCACAGAGGGTTTCACAGATGAATCAGAGCATTTCATATTGAATTTGCGGAAGATCCTTTTATACCTAATTGATGCTCAAATGATAAAGAGTTGGAAGGCAGAGTGCTATGGGTGCGAGGTTGACCACCCGAGTCAGATCCAGCACAGCTGTTTGGAGAGATATCCCGAATATTTCTACCATACTCTGGGTAAAAAACGACTTCCTGAATTGTGGAATGTACGTTTCATACCAGCTGTCGAAGCTTACCTAGCAACACAAGGCGTGGTGTTGCCTAGACAACGTCTGAAGGGGGCGGTCGACGCGCTGTTGTACGTGTTCACGCAAGACGATTTGAATGTTGTAATACAAGATATGACGGATTCACTAACTGACGAGAAAAGTTTTCTTGATGAGGCATTGTCTGTGTGGGAAGGGAATAACGCATGATGAGACACTGTATGTGCGTGTGTTGTTTATTTTTTTTATTTTTAAAGCTAATAAAGCATCTTTTATAACTCAGTGTCTCAAAGTTCTTCAACATGGAAGGTACTCTTAGTAAAATATACAATGACCCTAAGCACCCAGGGGGTCTAGGTGGTTTTAATAAGTTGTACAAGGTGGTTAACGAATTGGAAGGGGTTAATATTACGAGACCTCAAGTCCAAAATTATCTACTTAAACAAGACGTTTATACGCTCCATACGTCACCTAGGATAAATTTTCCAACTAACAGAGTGCTAGTAAATGGTATAGACAATCAATTTCAGGCTGATTTAGTAGACATGACAGAATATGTCAATGAAAATGATAATGTTCGGTATTTACTTACTTGTATAGATGTATTTTCAAAATATGCGTGGGTGAAGTGTCTCAAATCGAAAAAGGGTCCAGAAGTGGCAGAAGTGTTTAAACAAATTCTAAGTGAAGGACGGACCCCTCGAAAACTACAAACAGATCATGGAAAAGAATTTTATAATAAGCATTTCAAGAATGTGTTGAGTGCCTATCAAATTAAACATTTTTCCACGGCTAATGAAACAAAGGCCAGCGTGGTTGAACGATTTAACCGTACTTTCAAAACCCGAATGTGGAGATATTTAACATCGGTAAA